AACTGCCTTTATGGAAATAAACACTTGGAAAACAGGATGGGTAGAAAGAATAGAAGAGATAACTAAAAACAACAATCTTTCAGAATTATCAAAACAACATGAAAAGAAGATAGGGGAGGTACTCAGAGAAAATTATGTAAAAACATGGAGAAGGGAATTATTTAATGACAGCAGAATGAATGGAGCAACAAACAAACTAACTTCATACAGAAAATTTAAAACTACTTTCAATATGGAGAATTATTTAAATGATAATTTGAAATTATTCAAAAAAATTTGAAATTAAGGCGATTATTTTGCAAATTTAGAATTTCTGATCATAAACTACTCATTGAGACTGGCAGACAAAAGAAAATTCCTAGAAACGAAAGAATATGTAAACTCTGCACAGATGATAAAATTGAAGACGAGTACCATTTCTTAATAGGATGCAGTAAATATGACATACCCCGTAATAAATTATTTAAATATATACAGGGCAAAAAATCTGACTTCTTGAAAATGAATGAAGACGAAAAATTCCGATTAATTATGACAAGCTTTGCAGGAATAAAAACTGGACAATTCATACATACAAGTATGAACTTAAGAGATGAAACATAGCAACTCCATCAAATTAGTCTGCAGGTAGTTTTAATGCAATGGCATATTTAGTAGCTTAGTAGTTTTTGTTGTTATACTAATTTTCATGTATTTCTTCCTCCATTCTTAGTTACATGTATTCAATGTTTTATTTGTGATTCTGGTGGATTGAACTGTACTTCCGTCTTGCTTTGTACTAAACAATATGTTTAATGTGCTATTTGTGATATTAGTTGTGTGAAGTATTATTTCTGTTAACTTGTTTTACAACCATAAAATTACTCTCTGTAGTAGATTTTCGTGTTGAATAAAATTATTATTATTATTATTATTATTATATAAGCATATAAACTACGGTAATTTCCGGCCTATGTCCTGCCGTAAAAACTAGAATAATTGTTCTAAATGCTTATTCGAGGGGGGGGGGGTAACCGGTGTTAATCATAGAGCAGATTCTAGTTACTGGCTGAGCGTATTTAATTGACAAACACAAACTAAATGGACACACGAGAAGTGTCGACAAACACAAACTAAAAGGTCACGCGAGAAGTGTCGACAAACACACACTACGAGGTCACGAGGTCACACTACAGGCTAGACTGGGTGATATGTGGTATGAGAAACTGCCTTAGTCGTAAAATACATGTGGTGTCCACTGTTGTGCAATCGTCAGGTCAACCAGTGACCTCCGAGTTACTTTGGTAATCCATCCATTGTACTCTTGATGGCAGACTCGAACACGAGTTGAATAATAAATGCACCCACAGACCAGTCGATACATATTTACCGATAATCATACAACGTTGTTGCGAGCAAACACTCCACTGACAACTTAGAGTCTCGATGCTTCCTGAATATATACATGAGCTAGACGTTGAATGAACAATGTACGTATTTCCGCTGTACATCGTAGAGCTGTCACAGTATCAGAGTAAAATCATGACGGAAAAATATTGTTACTTTCATGGTACAATCGACTAATTTACAGTAAATAGTGAACACACTCATACATTTGCTACCTACCTACCTTTTTCACCAAAAAACCCTCCTTGAATGGAGTTTGTTTGATCTCCTTGTCAACCATTGGTGATCGAGTTCGAGTTCTAGGCCGGAATACAATTAGGCGGCCAACTTCCGGAATGCACAACTCGGGAAGGAACTTCCGGCTATAGAAGAAAGCTCTGAGAGGTATTAGTTCTGGCTGCTAGTATAGTGTACTATCGTACTTGTATATCAAAGTACACCTAAGTGCATGGAGATTGGTATACCACTTGGATAACAATGACGGAAGATAAGGGGCATGTTATTGTTTGCCTGCCGATTAATGATTAGTCAGGTAAGTACTCAGTCTCGCTACATATACCAACAGGCGCAACCAAGTACACGGTGCGCAGGTAATCGTTAAGCTTTTTTAGCTGCACGGTCAAAGGTACTTGAGTATATCACAGGTGGTAGGAACAACACACTATTCTAATAGTATAAGTATAGTATATTTTATTTTACACAAAATAATGCATCCAAAATACATCATCTATGGCCAATACACATTACTTTATAAACAAACAAATAAACAAACACTGTTTCTTCACACAAATTACAAATCCTTTCCTCTGGAGACATGCCTGTGTATCTTAACCTTTCAATTGGCAGTGTATAAGCGGAGATTCTAAATTTGGTTATCCTTGTTCTATGATTAATATTTTTTTTACAAAGTATAGATATGGCTCAAATTCATGTTTTGATTTAAATGTTTTGTAAATGCGTAATTTATTATTTTCTATTTTTTTGAGGGCTGGCAACCACTGGTTATCAATATAGGTTTTCTGTAATTTCATTTTTGTTTGTATACTATTGAATTCTGCATTATCATGTACATTTGTTATTTCCTGTAATTTGTTCACAAATGCTGTTCAGGTATTGCCATTTAGTTTGCTTTCTGACTTGAATGCACATTGAACCAAAGGTCTACATTCTGAATTTAATATTCTCCTTTGGTATTTTAGTATTTGTGAACATATATCAGTGATGATTGGGTAGTTTCCAAGCTCTGCTCTAGAAGCAATGTTACTAGACCTTTTATGTACACTGAGTGTTTGCTTGCAAAATTTGATGTGAAGTTGTTCAAATTGTAATTTGTCATTGAATAATTTTTGAATGAATGAATCATTTGCAATAATGTTACAATTTTTTGATTTAAATAATTTAAAGTTGAAAGCTGCCGCCCATACTTCTGATCCATACAATATGATTGGCAAAACTGTACTTCTGAATAGTTGTATGGCAACTATATAATGTCTTATATTTACTATCTTCTATATAATAGACCATTCTCCTTGCCAACGGCTGTCGCAACCTTACGTAATGGAATGCTCCGTTTACCAATGACCTAAACCACAGCTGGGGCGTCGATCATGGGGGAGAGAGATAGAGACACCCCCCCACTTTCCGAAGGGTGGGGACACAATATCAACTGCTCCCCCCACTTTCCAGACTTACCCAGGTATCAATAATAGGCTTACTGTATAACATAGCCTGCGTTTGTGTAAGGCCTTTGGTTATGTGTACATGTACTGTATTCTTATTGATCAAGAATGAAAATTCCCAGGTGAAATTCTTTGATTAACAATGGGCCTATTAAAGTCTTCCTTTACGATAATGGTAGTTTTTTCCCATCATCGCACGATGGTTTCCTGCACTTCCTGCACTTCATCAGATAAAAATAGCCCGCATCCCGCAATATTGCTGCTAGTCTCTCCTCAGTCTTTAAGGAGTGTAACGAGGGAGTCGCAGGACCGAGTAGCCGAATTGTAGCAAGTTATGGATACGAGCTGTCTACGTTAACCCTGCGAAAGATAAATTCAGTCCCCCGTTCAATCTGAATTTACCCGGGGAATTTACGCAAGCCTTTAATTATATCTACCTACGTTGACAAATCACAGTAGTAAGTATATAACTTCAATTCAATTCAGTACTTTCTGCTAACGTAAAATAGGCGTTTTTGTGTGGAAAAATCACTTGCATACGAACACGTAATTGCACGAAGAACATACAACACTTTCATAGGGTATTTGAAACCAAAAATTGTCATTTCAACTCAGCGGCCAATCAGCAACCGCCTTACAGTTGGATGAAATTTTGGTTTCAAATACCCCGGTAAGGTGTTCGTGTGCAAGGGATTTTTCCACACGAAAACTATGAATTTGGTCGAATTTTGTTAGCGGTTGGCTTAATATAACCCCAACAGATCGTTTGGCTGTGAAAGATTTGTATTTTTCTCATATTTGCAGGAATCCGAAAAACGCGTTTCACAACTTGTCTCTAATTTAGTTTTATGTAGCGTTCAAAATGGCGGCCCCCATATAGTAGATATCGTATTTATTTTATTATCACGTGTGCGCCAGCTGACTGTGACTATACATAGGGCCTAAATTGAGTTAGTTCTGAGGTAAATACGTTATATTAGGCTGAGCCGAAAAGGCTATAAACTCTAACTAGCCCCATTTGGGGGTGAAGGGGTACTCATATAATAGGGCTAATTCTTTGCTGCAAATGCTGTTTATAGTTTCAATAGGCCTGTGAATATTTAGATATAATAGCATACAGTATTACTTGTATTTCTAGCTATGACGCTTGTTTCACAAAATCGTCACGAAATCCGTGTTAATTTGGGTAAATTATAAGAAATTAACTTTTTTTTTTGCAGATGCTTAATTCAAGGAAACGTCAGGGTGCAAGTGGGTTGTCCAATGAGAAGCGACCCAAGACAGAGAGACAACAATTAGAAGTTAATGTTGATGCGCTGGGAATGAAGATTATGTGCGATGTTCCCAGCGATGGCTCGTGCTTTTTCCACTCTTTAGTAGCATAGTTTGATACATTAGGCATAACACAGTATCAGAACAAATCAGCATTTGAGTAGGCGGCTCTTCTCAGAAGCGATTCGGTGGAGTTGACATGATGAAAATGAAAGAAGCAACGGATGTCATTACCCATCGGAACATACTGTTGCTAGACATGCTAGAGAAGCCACAAGTTTTAAGACATCGTCTTAAAACCGTTTAGTCTGAGTTCTCTGGATAACAGTCAAAATTCTAACATAGTCGTATAGATATGCAAATAATTGTTAATCTATACCTTTGAAGTTTTCATTTAAGGTTTTTTATTTTGAAAATGCAATACTATTTTATTTAATGCGATGACATGTGCATTAACTTGTACACATTAGTAGATACCGTGTTAACAGACAAGATGTTGGTTCTCCGAGTACAAACATAGCTCGCAAACTTACAGTGCACACCGGGAGTGAACTTGGTGAAGTAGTTAAAATATTTTTCCTAAAATAGTATCCTTCCCTTCCTCCGTTTGTGATTGTTAGTCTGTCCATGAGCCCTAAAAATGTGATTTTTGATTAGAAGACCAAGTCATTCAACAAATTTAATCAAAATCTTGTTTCCTTTATTTTTCCCCTTTATATATAACAATGATGCTTTCGAACTGATGACACAGCTGAATGAGACTGGTGAGTTGCCCAGCAATGCTGAGGTGAAGAAGATGAAGTCGCATGGTGAATATAATATATTAAAAATAATAAATAATGATCAATCTGGTGTGTGTAGGTCTGGTTATGAGTTATTGCCTAGAACAATGAGAAAGCAAAAAGGAGAAAACAGAGCATTCCGGAACATTCTATTGAACATGTTGTTGTAAACGACTCCTAATATGGAAATCCCCAAAATGCAAGTCATGGATGGATGGATGGATAGACCATGTGATTGGTCAATGTGGAATCAAATCCATCGAGAGTTATTTGAAAAGTATGCACCAAATGAATTCATTTGGTTGCATTTTTTAAAAATTTCTACCTTCTGAGGGGGGCACATCCCTTCACAGACACCCCCCGTCCGCAGAAGCGCGGACATTGGCCGCTTACGCGGCCACAAAAGTGTCCCCCCACTTTTCAGAATGAATCGACGTCCCTGCACCACAATCCCTCTATAGACGGACTGTGCCTAAACCAATCGTAATACAAGTTGGTAAAACATTGATAATAATAATTGTTCTGTAAGGTAGCGAATATTATAAATAGTCGACCAATCACAAAGTTCTTGACCGCCGGGAGTCTTGATAATTATGTTCGCCGGAGTAGGGGCTAGATCTGTGGACATGCTTTAGAAGAGATTGGTAAAGGAATGTCTGCCAATGTTACAAAACAATGGCAAAAAGGTTGAAACCTTGGAGAAACCTGGCAGTAGAAGACAAGTCCTTGTAGTAGAAAATCTCCAAGAAAATCCTGGACAATTGGAAGAATAATGAGGTTATGAAGGACAACAAAGATTTGGTCAGATTAGCCAGAGAAAAAAACATTACAATTCTCGAACGTCCTATCAACTAATTAAGTGTAATCAAGTCTGTGGTGGAACTTGATTTCATGATTTGCTGTGCTGTTTCAGGTTATTGAGTTTGGAGATATGGGAGCTTGTGAAATTGATTGACGTGTGAGTGCAGCTTATGTGCAGTGTTCTTTGTGACATCAACATATCCTGTTATATGTGTGATAGACTCATCTTACTCGTATTGATTTATTTTTCCTTTACTTTTTCCTGTTTGTAATTGTATATTTTCTACAATTAAGGCGTCAGGCTGTTACGGCTGATAATATTTTAGTTTATTTTCAGTAACGAATTTCCCTTATTGAAATAACTTTGCAGTTTATAAGATGGAACACTGCCACCTGTTATGCATACATACTTGTAATTATAGGTACTAGTAGCTAGATTGGTGTATGTCGCTATCTAGTTTTCAAATTCAGTTATCTATGGACAAAATAGAAAGTTATGACGGATGATAGTGTATAATAGTCCAGGGTTTCGAGTGAACAACCTAAGTTTAGATCGTGTTGGTTGTCGAAGAGTCCATAAATTGTTCCTCAATGGTTTACGGAAATAGAGTGTCAAAGTTCATGTTCGAAAATGTATTTCATTTTTGCTATTTTTGTACCTCGGTGCTTTACTTAGGACCTCAGTGCTACGTGTTCTAGTCTTGGCGCTTGATTTCATGATGTCAATTTGAGAAGATTTGTTCCAGTTGTATTCACA